CCCGTGAGCTTGAACTTAGTCGAAATTCCAGTATTTTGCTCTTCCTCCTTCTCTCTTATGTAACAGTTTAAAAAGAAGTGGAACAGCCATGAAGTGTGGTTTTCAAACCGTGCAACTGGCAACTTTCGCAGTTGCTTTGGCAAATGTTATATGCCTAGTAGTTACCATGCTGACGACGAGTTGTTTGTTTGTGTGTATGTGTGTGTCTGTCTGTCTCTGTGTGTGTGTGTCTGTGTGTGTGCTGTGCGTCTCTTCTGGTTTTTCATCTCGGGACCTGCAAAAGCCAAAGGGCTGAAACTTTGGGAACTTAATCTACATGCATGTACTGGCCCGCCAAAGTTTTCGACGGGCAAGCTGCTAACTTGGGAGCCAGTGAAGTTGGAAGGCTGAAATTTTAAGGGGACGTTCCCCGCCCACATAGGTCTTAATGAGTTCAAACCTAGCCCTCGGGTATGCGCGGCACCCAAGTATGGGCCCGTGGAAGTTTTTTTCGGGTAAGTTGCCAACTCGGGAACTTAAAAAGCTAAAAGACTGGAATTTTAAGGATATGTTTCCCTTTAATGAGCTCAAACCCAGACATGCGTGATACTCACGTGCGGGTCCGTGAAAGTTTTCGGATTGAAATCGAAAAGTTAGAAGGCTTTATTTTAAGGAGGTAGTACCCACGTACGAGCCCATGGAAGTTTTTTTGGGTTACTAACCCGGGAAAATGAAAAGCTAGAATGCTGTAGTTTTAAGCGGATGTTTTTCGTCCACGTAAGTATTAATGAGTTCAAACTCAGCCCCCGAATATGCGTTGTTTCTATGTATGGGCCCGTGAATTTTTTTGCGGGTAGGGTGCTAACTCAGAAACCAGGAAAGCTAAAAAGCTGAAATTTTAAAGGTATGTTTCTGATAGTCCTGGTGGCCATCTCAGTTCTTTTAGCTGCAAGTATTTGCCGGAAAAACCAGTGCAGTTAGCGACAAAAATCGGCAGAGAACTATGCAAAAAACGCATCTTTGTACCGGCAGTCGGTGCGTTGGCCATTTATTTTTCCTCCTAAAGGGTGTACCAACTTAAAAGTTCTTTGGATAGAAGCACTTGGTTAAGCTTCGCCTTTCTCAAGACGTGTCTTTGATTTGTGAGCATCACTGCCTCGTCCTTAAAATTGCTGCTTATTGTGCATTTACTATTGCATAACATTACATTGGAGAAACTATTTCCGATGCTGAATGAGCCATTGCAGGCAGCACTGGCTCGACACTGTGCCGGTCGTGCGCAGAAGAAGCTGGTTTGGGGACAGTTCTGGGCAGCACACCAGAGATTCTTTAAATATTTGTGTATCAGTGCTAAGGTTTGTTCGTTTGTTCTTCGAAAAGCGGAGCTCCTTCCTTTTGCCCCAAATTCAGTTGCTGCTAGGCTGGAGTGGTGGCTGTTAGCGACACTGTCAGGCTGAAAGTCGAGGGTTTCACTCCGCTGTTGAGGAAACCAGGCCTCTTTCTAGACATATATTCATTTTTTGTGAGGGTAAACTAGTGTTGGTGCGTGCCAAGATATCAAAACATACCATCGTCTTGCTTCTGAACAACCAAAAAATGAAAGAACTATCGATACCTTCACTTAGGGTTGGTCGACGGCTGTTATTCAGACCACCGAATGCATTCGTAGATTTAATTTGCACTTGATCGGCTCAAGTACACGAAATGTGTTGTGGTTTTTAGGTGCAAACCTGTGTGAAAATTGCTCGTGAAGCGATAAAAAGTGGCAAATGCGTTGTGATTGGTTTGCAAACAACTGGTGAGTCGAAAACGTTAGAAGCACTGGACGAAGCCGGTGGCGAACTTACTGAATTTGTCTCCACGGCTAAGTAGGAAATTTTCTTGAATTGCGTGAAATTTTTTAGGATCAGAATGATCGTTTGAGGTTTGCTTCTAAGCAGTTCTCAGATTGATGATAGGCACCGATTGTCTTTGTCTGTCACTGAGAAGATTGAAGTTGGGTGATAGTATTTACATAACAATTAGTAGTATGCATGAGCGTTGCGTATTTGTGTGATTTCATGCAGCAGCAAGCGTTAACAGCATAATGATCGTTGCTTTACAGTTTGACGTGTGCGCTTATGCTGAAAATGCCTTTTGGTTTTTTATTCCTTGTACGGGGAGGGAGGGGGGGGGGCGGGGGGACGCGTGTCATCGGCCGGTGCTCTAGCTTCGCAGTGCGAACCTCATAAAATTTCAGCCTACCATGTCTGACTACTGTGAGGGTAGGATGCCAGCAATTTTGCTTTGTTTGTGCAAGATATTGACTTACGTGAGTACTGATTTTGCGCTTTTGCTGCTGCAGGGAATTAGCCTTTCTGTTTTTCCATGTATAGGAAGCATGCCGACATTTTCGCAACTTGAGCATTTGTCGTGCTCGTACGCGAAATACATGCACCTACGGAAGTTCATTTTGCGCCTACAAGTACACGGATGGGATAGAAAACCAGTTTGAGCATATATTTGTTCACGGGGAGATCCGCTTGAAGTGTGCTAATGTCACAAACGAGGCAGTCGTAAAGATTACAAATTGATTTCTTGCTATTTGCCTTAAACTGTTAAAAAAGGCCTTCCAAAATCTCCAGCTTTTTGCTTCCTCGGTTCTCAGTTTATAAAATTATTCTAGTGTTAGATCTGTGGTCACAGTAGAGAAAAAGATGCGAGTTGATTCCAGGTCTATGGCCTTTTGCAAGATGGGCATTAGCTTCCGGAACCTCAATTTTCCAGTCTCCTTGGATCTGGAGTCGAATTATATAGGTGTAGTCGCGTATTGGGGCCTTAGTGCATTATCATTCGTATAAATGCAAAAACGTATAGGAATAAGCGAGAAAGAATGCCTAATTGCAAATATGGTTATTTTGACTGATTTAGAGCGGTGCTGACGAGCCTTATAGAGAAACATTTTCCGACAGAAAACACGAGCTCGTCGGCCGATATGTACGTCGATTTCGACAAAATGTGCAATGAATTAGAAGGCCGCCAAACAGCAAAGCGCAAGTGTGCGTTCTCTATGCAAATGAAATTGTTGCTGCCCCGGAACTTGCATAATTGCGTTACCTGAGCGCATGACACAATAGTTTTTGAATTTTGCGCCAAAAATTTGAAGCGATTTAGAGGGTTTGGCGCTGTTTGATCGCAATTAGCAGATTTGTCATGCCTAGCACCGCAACCCAAAAATTGGTGGGAGGAAGGTAATGTTGTGTAGTGTTGTATTTGTTTGGTACTGTGACTGTTTCAGTAGAAATGCCAGGATCGAAAAGTATGCCTAACATGCCAGCAAAACGCATGAAACTCGATTTTGTTGAAGAGGAGAAGAATGAAACGACAGACAGCAGTTCGTCAGCAGAGGACAGTTCGCATTCTTCTGAGGAAGATGAGGAGAGCACATCAGATGACGATGGTGAACGTGAGTTTTCACGAATAATTTTTGAATATGAACGCGAGATGACAGTTATTTTGCGTGGCATTGCTTGCCATTTACAATGCAAATAGCAGATCAGGGAGCGGCTTTCTTCCGTCCGTATAGGTTTGGGATATCAAGTGTCCTGATACGGCAGCTTGTGGACTTTTACTGTGCTATAAATAGTGATTTTTGTGGAATGTCAAACAAGATGGTTAGTAACTGAGATGGGGGATACCCACTGGATTAATGCTGTTCTGTTCGTCTTTCACTGGACTGGTGCGGAGAGATAAATGCCGCGGTTACCAGCAAACTGATTACGGCCTGATGAAACTTCGACTGCTATTCACTTGTATTACCTAGTAACCATCAGCTATATCTAGTGCGTGTTGGGTATGTTAGGAAGCAGTACTGCTGCCCAAGACAAGACAGAAAACGGTTTTGACCCTTAATTCTGGGATTCTCGGCTGTAAAAAGAAAAGCGTGGCAGAATTTAAAGCACAGCATGTTTTGCAGCATGAACAGAGTTGTCGATAGCCAAAAGAGAAAATTCCCTTTCTTTGCCGCTGCTGGAGTGTTATTTTGTTTAAAATTTAGCATCGAGCGGAGCCATTCAGGGCGATGAAAATGCATGGCTGCGAAGGCTGATGGATGAGGCCAAAAGTTCTGAAGACGATGATGAGGAGGAAGAAAAAAGTACAGAGAAAGAGGAGGACGGAAGCGAAGATGAAATCAATCCATTCATGTGCGATTTTAGTAGAGGTGCGTTTCATTTGAACAGGCTATTGAGCATTGGGTAAGCGCTTCTGAAGGTTAAATGCTTTAAAATCCCTTAATCAGTTAAATAAATTTTTTTTTTTGTTTTAGGTGACCCGTGGGCAGCAAAGCAACAAGTCGTTCCGGACTCGCCAAAAAAGAAGAAAAAGAAGCTGACGAAAAAGAAGAAAAAGCCAAAACCAAGCAGAATTGACTCTGCTGCTATGGTAGCCATCATTTTTCTGTTTTAGTAGTTAGATCGACTTGCCATAATTTTTTTTTTTTTTTTT